TTGCCAGATCCATAAAAAAGAGGAAAATAATCATAGCCCCAATTCTTCCCAACAGCTACAACCTCTTTCATTACCTGGAACGTAGTTTTCTTGGTGAGAATCAGGTGTCTGATGCAGTGGCAAACGAGATTGGTTCTTTCCCAAATCCATCTTGCTGCAATACCTTCCTGCTATGTGGTCCAACTTCCTCAAGCTGCCTTTTTAAAAAATTTCAAAAGCAATTAACAGCTTACACACACAAGCTCACTTTTCACTTGACTTCCCGCCTAAAAGTTTTATCTGGTTGGACCACAGCTGCTGGCTACTTCTACTTTCTTTATCACAGTGCACAGGTGTGAGTAGGGGTCATGGCTGCTGCTCTGTCCCCACCCTCTAGCACAGTTGCTAGTTATACAGGAGCCCATGGCCCCAGCTTGGTGTGGCACAGCCTCTGGTACAGCAGCCACTTGGTTCTGTATGCCAACAAGTACCTGAGTCTGATGTTCTGTTTTACAGAGGGGGTGGCATAGGTAGAAAGAACACCATTCTAGGATTTAACCAGATCCATGTCCTAGAACAAGTCACTCACCCCTTTCTGTGGCTCTCTTTCCTTATTTGCAAAGTGGGTAAAAATAATTTCCAACTTGCACACCTCACACAGTTTTTGTGAAAGTGAAAATAATAAATGTGAAAATTATGAAGAGTGCCTAATGCTTGTGAAATTAATCTTATATTGTTTTTCCCATGTGGCATTTTTTTACCTTAATCTGTTGCAAATTAATGTAAAGTCTTGCTGTATGTGCTGTAATAGACTTAGATAATAGGTGTAAAGACCTAAAATAGGATAAACAATTCAATCAAAAAATGGGCAAAGGACCTAAATACTAGTAGATACTTTTCGAAAGAGGACATACAGAAGGACAAGAGACATATGAAAACATGCTCAAAGGCACTAATCATCTGAGAGATGCAAATCAAAACAACAATGAGGTACCATCTCACACCTGTCAGAATGACTATCATCAACAAATCAACAGAGTCTGGGGGGGAGCGGCCGCAGCTCTGTGTCCAAAGTGAGTGCTTTTCCACTGGAAGACCAGGAGCGAGGCACCCGCTGACCCGAGGGGGCAAGAGGACGTCAGGCCGTGAACCTCGGAAGCTGAAACCCATGCACAGCACAGACTGATGGACAAGAAGTCCAGAGGCACCGAAGCACGAACAGACAGACGGTCCAGCCTCAGAGGGAAGGCAGGGGAGGGTGTGGGGTAAGAGACCAACCGAAGGACCTGCCTGCCTGCCTGTGAGCTTGCCCCGTGGACACCGACAGGGGGGTGAGGGCATGTGCTGGGGGGCTGGGAGGGGGCTGGGAGAGGCCAATGGGGGGAAAAGGAGGCATATGTAATACTTTAAACAATAAAGAATTTAAAATTTTTTTAAAAGACCTAAAATAGGAATTCAAAGCAAATTTGAACCCTTTTCTGCTAACCTGATCATTCACAAGTGACTCAAGCTAACTAGTGAAACCCATTGGTACTCATCCAGAAAAGTAAAAAAGCATTTCCTAATGAAAACATCACCATGGTAAGTCACAGAAATAAAGCTGAAGTGGAAGGAATCACCCCATCTCCAATTGGTCACCCCATTTGTGGAGGCAAAATCCAAAGAGAACCACAGCTGTTCAACTACGGAGGGAACACTGAACACCTGATACTTGCAGCCAGTCAGGATGACTTCGGTTAACATTGTGTCCTGGAGTCATAAATTGATGAGAGTTTAAATTCCAGTGTTGCCACATCCCCTAATTCAGTGACCTTAGTCATGGAGCCACTTTACCTCTCACATGGGAACAATTCATCATCTACCTCATGAGGTTATTGTGATCACTGAATCAAATAATCAATATAAGGCATTTTATGTGCCTGACATGTTGAATCTGCTTAATTGTTGGCTGCTTTTATCTATATATACTAAAGCCAAGCGACCAGATGACCAGAACAACCGGAACGACCGGAATGACCAGTTGCTATGATGCACACTGTGGTTGGCCAACCTCCTGCGGCCCCTCCCCCTAGCCAGCTGGCCCCCTCCCATGCACGAATTTGTGCACTGGGTCTCTACTTAACAATAAAAATACAGTAACCAGATTTTGGGAAACCAAGTCACAGTTTACAGGCATTTCAGAAACAGAAAATTTGAAAGGGATCCTCTATAATGTGAATAGGTGCCCATACTTCCATAGACTCTTAATGCATTAAAACTGGAAGGGCTCCTGTAACCATCTAGTTCCTCCTCCTACTTTATATACAAAGAAACAAGAACTAAGGAAGGATTTACCTGTCCCAAATTTTCTCGCTTATTACTAACAGCACCTCTTACTGATTATAAGATGGGCTATCTTCTTATGCTTGATCTTGCCTGGGTATGAAAATGTATGTGTGATGTGAACATACACACTGAAAAGTATTAAAAATTATTACACACACACACACACACACACACAAGTAACCACTGCCAAAACTTAACATGGTTTTTAATTAGCAGATCCTAATGCTTTAGCTTTAAGTTTCTCAGTTCCTCATTCTTTCTCACAAGTCTCTATCTAAAAATTCAGATAAGTTCGGGGAGTCCCTATTCAGAGGAATCCTGTAGGGAATGGAAAGCATGCTTTGTAATCTATCTCTTATTTTTGGATTTTCAGATAAAGGACTTAAAGAAATCAAATGCAAATTAAAAGAAACTTTGAAGATTATAAAATGTCACTTTATATTTAAACTTGCATTTTAAATATTGTTTATTTTTTGAGATGTTTTAATTCTTAATGGTTGTTTCTTATGACAGCTCAATAAAATAACCTTATAGAATACCTCTGGGGCACCTTACAGAAGATGAGGAAGTACTTCTTAAATAGGATTGTCTTGACTTGGAGCTTATAACACCCATGTCAACGATCCAGCAAACATAACTGAATGCCCACTCTGTACCACATACTGGGCAAGGCTGTCAAGCCACAAAGATGAACAGATGTAGTCTCTGAGTTGTGTGTACTGCAGGCTCATAGAGAGGTATAATCATCTTCATTGTAAGGACGTATTTAGATTCTTTATTCTCTATTGCAATTCTCCAAAGTTGATCCCATCCCTGCCTCTTGTTCCCAGTATCTAGGAGCAGAATGTGGAGGGACTATAAGTGGGAGGGGTTTCCAGTTAACAGTTAATTAGGGGACAGTATTGGGTGGAGGAGGCTAGTGGAGGAGGGACTTTGTAGCAAACTAGATTGGAAGTCAGGCAAGGTGTCTCTGGTGTGATAAGAAGGCCAGAGTAGAAACTTGTCTGGGACAGAAATAGCCACACGGTAAGTTTACAAGCCATAGTTCATTGTCCCTTCTCTCTAGAAAACTCCAGTGTCACTGGCAGAATGTGAGATGTTAGGCATTAAAGGCATATTTTTAACAAATGCTGCCTTGTTCTAGAGTTATTTGCATAAATTTATGAAACCTCCCTCTAGGCCACAAACTCTTAGACTTGCCTTTCCATCTCCACAGTTGAGTCTGGTGGGGAGGCTTGGCTCACAGTAGTCCCCATAAATGCCTCACTCCTGTATGCAGGACTAGCTTCCTAGGCATGCAACTTGTGAAAGAACCTTATACACTCAGAGGGGCTGATGCAACTGTAACCTAATGATAGTAATAACATCATCTATTCCAGAACTTTCCACCATCATTCACTGGCACTATCCTATGTGCTGGTTATATAGCAGTTAAGAGACAAAGTCCTGTCCATACAGAGCCTATAGTTTAATGGGAAGAGATAAACAATATGCAAATAAAGAAAATATGATACATATCAGATGGTGGTGAATGCTTTGGAGAAAATTGAGCAGGGAAGGACTGGATGAGGAATGAAGAGGAAGGTTGATGGTGGTTGCAAATCAGGTAATCAGGGAAGGATTGACTGAGGGGGGGACAGTTGAGAAGAACTGAAGATGAGGGGCCATCCAGACTGATATCTGGGAAGGCATTCTAGGCAGAAGGGCACCGACCAATGGCCCAAGGTGAGGGAGTGGTAGGAGGTGGGTTCACAGAGGTGGCTTGGCTCCTACCTCCTGTGGGGATTTCTCCTCTGAGTGAGATGCACAGTGATGGGATGGCTTTTAACAGAGGAGTGATGTGACTTGGCTTATATTTTTAAGATTATTCTGGCAACTGTGCAGAGAACAGACCACTGGGCACAGGGGAGGAAGTGGAAGCAGGGAGGTGAGGTAATCCAGAGTTGGGCTGTGATGATGGTGGTGAAGCGGTCAATTCTGGAGCAGCTTACAAATTGGGCGTGGAGTGAGAGATGCAGTAAAAAACTATGACAAGGGTTTTGGTCTGAGCAACTGGAAGGATGGAGTTACCATGAAAAGATGAGAAAGACTAGGAGGAGCATGTTTGCAAGAGATGATCAGGAGTTTCTCTGGACGTGCTAATGGATTAGGGAGAAAATAGCAAAGGAGCAGCCAGTGAGGCAGAGGAAAACCAGAGAAGTGCAGTGCCCTAGAAGCCAAGTGGGAAAATGCTTCAAGAAAGAGGGAGTGATCAACTGTGTCAAATTTTGCTAAAAGGCAGAGGAAGGATTGATAATTGTCCTAACAATTTAATTCGATTCATTATAGACTGTAGAGCTCTGAGAGGTTTTAAATTATTTGGTCAAGGGCATACATAGATAGGACCCGCTACAGGGGCCAGCGCAAAATGAAAATGCAGAGCTCCTCCTTCAAAAATTAAGAATTTCAAGACAGCTACAGAAGAAAATTAAGCCCAGCACAGGGACCCACTTTCTAAGTGCTTTACTGGATCCTTGCAGTAGACTTAGGAAATAGCTATTATCATTTTTCAGATCAAGCCTGGTGCTCGGGCTGTTCTGTCTGTGGAGTAGCCCATTCCCTGTCTCACTGCTTCAATAAACTCACTTTCACCCTAAACTGTACTTGTTTATTTCAGTTCACCTTAAACTCTTAAAAAAGAGAAGACACTGGTGCTCAGAGTATAGAGTGATTTGACTAAGGTCACAGAGCTAGACTGTAGTCTGAGCCTGGAACCTGAACCACCAACCTCCAAGTCTGGCCTTCTTCCTACTGGCCCAAACCAGATATTGAGGGAGATTGCTTTCCTGCCTCCTGACCCACCTGGAGAGAGGGGGTTTAAGTATTGAGGCCTTGCTCATGCATTTCAGAGGCCTGGTTGAACTGGAGGAAAGATGTGGGAGGGGAGGAAGCACATTGCTAAGTCCTTCTGCCCTAGGACTCTTTACAATGGGGTTCAAAAGGGAGCACTGGGTACTACTATTTAAGTCACACACATGACCTGATAAAAGTGCCCCAGACCTAATGTAGTTTTCGGCTATACTGATAAAATTATAGCACCCCAAAAACAGGGAGATCAGAGTCCTGCTACACTTTGGAT